TTTCTTTTCAAACCAAGACTTGCGTTTCAGGCAATCTTTCTGTATGTGTCCTTCTTTCTTACAGAAATAACATTTATTTGCCCGATTTTTCTTCTTTTCATCATTAGTGACCTGTGAAACTTTAGCAGGTCCTTTCTTCTTAAACTTGTTGGATTTCGGTTTGAGAACATTATTAGCTCCATGACCCACAAGGTTGACCGTATGAACTCCTTGTGCCTTAAGCCTCGTCTCCTCCTGAACCAACTTACTGGCCAATTCATTAACATCCCACTTATCCTTAATAGTGTTACAGTTAATTTGAAATGGCCCATATTCAGGAGGCAATGAGTTAAGCATAAATTGCACCAAAAATGAGTCATCAACAGTCATGCCCAGGGACTTAAGCCTTGCTGCAAGATTAGTCATGTCAAGAACATGTTGCTGCATACTTCGCGACCCATCATACTTTTTGGTCGTGAGTTCAGCCATAAGTGTTCCTACCAATGACTTATCCGCGGAACAAAAACGCTCTTCCACAAGCAAAAGGTATGCTTTCGCATCCACATTATCGGGAAGAGTTGACTTAATGTTATTGGCAATCGTCATTCGCATAAAGCTCAAACATAATCTGTTAGACCTATCCTAAGCCTTACGGTTTGATTTCTCAGCCTCACTTCTTTGATCAGTAATGTCAGCGGGCTTTTCTTCAAGCAGAGCTAAGTCAATATCCAAAACACCTAAATGGAAATTGACTTGCTCACGCCATTCAGAGAAATTCAAACCATTGAAGACAGTAACAGAAGAAGCTTGCGAATGAAGAGAAATAGCTGCACAATCATAAACGCTCACTTAATTAATAGATTCAGAAAATACATTCATCACATATATTACAGGTCTCCTTTGGGTAAACACACAATATATATATATATCATATCATGAGTCGAATGTCATTTAACACTTAATGAGAAATTAAATAAACTTCGTCTAACATACATAGTATCTTTGGATGTCTACATATGCTCGACAAAGGATATTATATTTCTCCTTAATGTTTATTAGTTATAGAACATTGATTCACCTTTAGGTAAATCCATAATTTCTAACAACCAATAAACTCATTATCTTGAATAATGACATTCTCAAGAGAACATAAGTTATATGACCAAACATTAAAAAATTAATCCGGCCACTTTGGTGACTAACAAATTAATTTTATCTTAATGTCATACAACAATCAATTGTAACAATAATGTTATATGACCGGACATTAAAATTAATTAGGCCACTTCGGTGACTAACAAATTAATTTGAGCTTAATGACATATAACAAGCAGTTATAACGATAAAATTATATGACTGAACATTAAAAATTAATAAGGCCACTTTGGTGACTAACAAATTAATTTAATCTTAATGTCATATAATTATAAAACAATCATAATGTTAACAAAATAACACTTATTATTCATAAACATAATAGGAAATTTGTTAACTCAATCATCATCATCCAAAGTACATAAATTTCAAATAATCATAATATTTTTGTTCTCAGATCAGATGCCATTAAGCCATACTCAACCATGAAACAAAAATTTCGTGACGCAACCATTGCTCAGTAAACAAAAAAAGCACCCAATCAAAGCTTTATGTGTAACTTGAATACTTGTATTTACACAGCCACATCATCGAAAAATTATTTTAAAATTTAAAATTTACATAACCAAAACATCA